CATTACTCACTTTAAGTAATTTCATGGATTAAGTTACAAACTACATTTTGGGATATGTAATCTGTAATCTGTAGGGGATTACATTTTAAAAGTAAACTTCTCAACACTGAGGTCTCCTGGAGGAGCTGGAGGAAGTGTCTGGGGTGAGGGAAGTTCAGACTGAAACCTCCGACACCAGAGAAGAAGAAGAACATGGACGGATGGAGGTTTTATTTTCACACTTTATTTGAGTTAATTTAAGGGTTTGGGAGCAGTAACGACACTGACAAGTGTAAAATAAAATAAAAAAAACACTTTCAGTGTCAATAAAGACTTTATTTACTTTAAAACGAGGTAAAAGACGAAATTATGAACAAAACTGTTGGATTTATTTTGCTTCACATTTTCACTCGTCGACGTTCGGCACAAAAAACACAAATAAAAAACACAAATTAAAAACACAAATTAAAAACACATAAAAGGAGAGGAGGAGGAGAAGAGGAGGAGGAGAGAGAGGAGAAGAGGAGAGAGAGAGGGAGAGAGAGAGAAGAGAGGAGAGAGGAGAAGAGGAGAAGAGGAGGAGAGAGGAGAGAGGAGAGAGGAGGAGAAGAGGAGGAGGACAAGAGGAGAAGAGGAGGAGAAGAGGAGAAGAGGAGGAGAAGAGGAGAAGAGAGGAAAGAGAGGAGAAGAGGAGGAGAAGAGGAGAAGAGGAGAAGAGGAGAAGAGAGAGAGAGAGAGAGAGGAGAGGAGAGGAGGAGAAGAGGAGAGAGGAGGAGGAAGAGGAGAAGAGAGAAGAGGAGGAGAAGAGAAGAGGAGGAAGAGGAGAAGAGGAGAAGAGAGGGAGAGGAGGAGAAGAGGAGGAGAGAAGAGGAGAAGAGAAGAGAAGAGGAGAAGAGGAGGAGAGGAGAGGAGAAGAGAGAGGAGAAGAGGAGAGAAGAGGAGAAGAGAGAGAGAGGAGAAGAGAGGAGAAGAGGAGAAGAGGAGGAGAAGAGGAGAAGAGGAGAGAGAGGAGAAGAGGAGAAGAGGAGAAGAGGAGGAGAAGAGGAGAGAGAGGAGAAGAGGAGGAGAGAGGAGAGAAGAGGAGAGGAGAGAAGAGGAGAGAGAGGAGAGAGAGAAGAGGAGAGAGAGGAGAAGAGGAGGAGAAGAGGAGAAGAGGAGGAGAAGAGGAGAAGAGGAGAAGAGAGAGGAGAGGAGGAGAGAGAGAGAAGAGGAGGAGAGGAGAAGAGGAGAAGAGGAGGAGAGGAGGAGGAGAAGAGGAGAAGAGGAGAGAGGAGAGAGGAGAAGAGGAGGAGAGGAGGAGGAGGGACTGGGGGTTGTTGGTTGAATTCCTGACTCTGACAGATGAAGAGAAACTGTCAGCAGATCTCACAGTACAACAGAAACTCCCCTCAGTACAAATACTACAAATACTACAAATACTCAGGAGCAAATATGTGACAGTACAGTACACAGACAGGTGCAGGGCAGGTGCAGGGCAGGTGCAGGGCAGGTGCAGGGCAGGTGTCAGAGGGTTTGAGCCTCTAAATTCCAGAGTAAAAATAAAGAAAAAATCAAATAAAAGAATAAAAGCCTCAGATTCAGATTTTCACTGAATTTAAACTGAAACAAACACGAATCGTTTCAGGACTAAAGGAAAATAAATCTGACAAATCAAAAAAAATAAATTTGTCTGAACTGTTTTAGTGAAATGAGCCGTCGAATCATCACAGACGTCGAACAACACGAGGCCACGAACGTCGAAAAGAACGAAACTCAACAACACGAACGTCAAAACTAAACCAGGACTAAACCAGAACTAAACCAGGACTAAACCAGGTCTAAACCAGGTCTAAACCAGGACTAAACCAGGACTAAAACCCAGGTAAACTAAACCAGGACTAAACCAGGACTAAACCAGAACTAAACCAGGACTAAACCAGGACTAAACCAGGACTAAACCAGGAAAACTAAACCAGGACTAAACCAGGACTAAACCAGGACTAAACCAGGGACTAAACCAGTAAACCAGGTCTAAACCAGGACTAAACCAGGACTAAACCAGGACTAAACCACCAGGACTAAACCAGGACTAAACCAGGACTAAACCAGGTCTAAAGTCCCAGTGTGGGACATTTGCACACAGATTTGATGATGAATCCTTTTTAAAGATTCCCAAACTCTTAAACATTTGTATTGCAGTACAAATACTGCAGTATTTGTACTGCAATACAAATAGTGCAGAGGTCAGTGAGAGTGCACAGAGTACTCACAATAGTACTGCATTCCTGTGTACTTGTACTGCAAACAAACACTCAATCTTCTTCTGTCAGAAACATGTTACATCAGAGACACAGAAACTCACGGCTCAACGAGTCGAGTCAGTGAAGCGCGAGAGGGCGGAGCCACACCAACACCACTCTGTTACACCTGATGATGTCATCAGGTGTCTCTCTCACTCTGTTACACCTGATGACGTCATCAGGTGACTCTCACTCTGTTACACAGGTGTCTCTCTCACTCTGTTACACCTGTCATCAGGTGT